GAGGCGGGGCGGCGGGGCGGCCGCGGGAGGACAACGGTCACGGATCCGGGCTGGGCCTCACCGTCGGGGGGCAGCGGCATATCCATGGCTCCGGCCGCGGGGAACGACCTCCCGCGCCTCACGATCGCGCAGCAGCGCCGTCTACGGAAGCCGGCCGGAAGTGGCGCGAAGGAACAGTTTACGGCGGGCCGAGCGGTCAACTTCCGCCCGCCACTTACGGCCGTCGCCTGGAAACCCCGGAAGTGAGGGCAGGAGCCGGCAGGGTCTGGCGTGAGGAACCCGCGCGCTCAGGCCTCGGTGCGGGCGGGGCGAGTAGTTAAACGGGCGAGCGCGTCTTCGCGCTTGCGCAGAGCGGGCCGCTGCTCCCGCCCCCGAGTGCGGTGTGCCGTTGTGTTGCGGCGGGGGATCGGGAGTCATTGGCGTCCGTGCCGGGGGTCTCTTTCCTTCCTGCAGACGTGTTGAGGAGTCCGCGAGGTGAGGTTCGTTCGCGGCCTCGGGCTCGGGGCCGGGGGGGCGGAAGGAGGCGGAACTGGGCTTATCGGGTTCCCAGATCGCCACCGTTACAGTGGTTGGCTGCGCTTCGCTAGTTTTTGTGCAAGCGGTGTACACGTGGCTCAGATTTTTTTCCCCCTTTTTTGCAGTACTGGGGATTAAATCGAAGAGTTTCCTTAGTGAGCTGTATACCCACCTGGTTTTTTTTAGACAGGGTTTCCCTACGTTGTCCAGGCAGGGATCAAACTTGAAATCTTCCCTGCCTCAGCCTCCCAGAGTGCTGGGATCACAGGCGTGGCCACCACACCCCGCGTAATTATTTTATTGTTACTAAAATCTCCACCAGATGGGCCAGACTGCAAATATTTTAGGCTCTGAGGGCCAAGAGGCAAGATTGGGGGGGATTTAGCTCAGCGGCAAAAGCGCCTGCCTCGCAAGCGCAAGGTCGTGAGTTCGGTTCCCGGTACCGGAGAATAAACCAAAAAAAAAAAAAAAAAAGCAAGATTGGGGATTTTATCCAGGCACTTACTAACCAAAGAGAAATGTTTGTAAGTTTTTTATTGAATTAAGCCAGGCGCAAACCCCCGTTTGCTCTCAGTTCTCTGCGAGGCCAAGGCAGGAGGATGGCACATTTGAGGCCAGCTTGAGCAATTTAGCAAGGCTGTGTCTCCAAGTAAAGTAAAATGGGCACTAGCCTAGCACCTGCCAGGTCCTGAGCTCTACCCCCAGGGTTGACTTTAAAATGTAATAAATATTTTATTACATAAATAAAATAAGTACATAAATAAATAATTTATTACATACATAAAATATTTTATTACATAAATAATATTTTATTACATAAATAAATGCGTGGTGGCGCAGGCCTGTAATGCCAGCACTGGGGAGGCTGAGGCAGGAGGATTGTTGCAAGTTCAAGACCAGCTTGGGCTACAAAGTGAGCTGAAGTTCAGGCTGAACTGCATAGCGAGACCTTGTCTCAAAAAGACCAAAAAAAAAACAAAACAAAACCATATATATATATATATATATATATATATAAAATATGATCTCTAAGATCGAGTGGACTCCTGAGAAGGACTTCTTCCTGAGAAGAGTGGAATTCTCTTGGTGGGGAACGTTTTGCGTAACTGGGGTTCCAAGTTAGTCTTCCCTGCCGTGAGCAGCTTGCAGATACTCACCTGTGCTCCTAGAACAGGAGACCTGCAAGAACAGGAGACCGGCTGGTTCTGGCTTGTGGAACTGGCCGGGATCCAACCACACCTCTCCTGGGGTCCCCTGCCGGCAGGGGAGACACACCTCACTCAGTCGGGAGGTGTGGCCTCATGCAAGCAGAGGACAGGGCAGTGTCCCTGGGTGTGGCTCGTGGGACGAGGTCAGCGGGCAGGACCTGGCTCTGACCTCAGCGCGCGCGGACAGACACAGCTGTCCCGTCTCTGTGGCGACAGGTGTTCGCACTCCCCACTCCAGGACAGGTGCGCATCAGGTGTCCCGCCTGGGGGCTGTCTTCGCTGCTGGCCCTCAGAGAGCCACAGACCAGGGGACCGCACAGCAAACAGCGTGTGTGGACAGTCCCGTGAGCTACAGGTGCGTGCCGCTGACCCGCTCTGGTTTCCTTTGCTTTTTATTTTCTTCTTGGTGTGGCGCGTGGAAACTAGAGCCTTCGCACTGAGCTGGCTGTCGTGAACGGCTGGCCCCACCCCCCCTTTTTTTTTTTTTTTACTTTGAGACAGGGTCTCACTAAGTTCCCCAGGCTGGGCTGGACCTTGGGATCCTCCTGGCTCAGCCTCAGAGTACTGAATTTACAGGCAGACACTGAAGGCTTTGGGGATGGGTGGAGACAGGGTCTCACTTCCTATGTGGCCCAGCCTGGCCTCGAACTGGCCACAATCCTCCTGCCTCAGCCTCCGGAGTGCTAGGGTACAGATGGGTGCCATTGTTCCAGGCTTTTTGTTCTTGAGTCTCACAGGTGCCCAGGCCTTCCCTGGCTCAAGGGATCCCATCCCGCGGCACCCTTGCTGCTATAGCAGAAGAAATACTCGCTCCCATGCACCCTGCAGTAAGCTTTTTACCCTCGGGCTGCAGCCCTCTTCCCGGCACGTGTGAGATACGTGGAATCAATGTCACCTTTCGAGCAGTCACCTCGCACCACCTTACGGAAGGAAGGGGAAGCTCCGAGTAACTCTGACCCATCAGCTAACGAGGAGCGCCCTGCTCCTGTGCTTCCTGCGTGCTCCGCACCCTGGAAAAGCCTGCACACCGCGGGCTCGGGGCCTGGCCCTGGGAGCGACCCCGGCCAGGCCCGCTGGCGCCAATAAAGCTGTGCGCTTGCCTCCAAGCCTTGGGCACCACTCCGTTCTCGGTCTCGTCTGCTGCGGCTCTTGCTGCGAGCTGTAGCGTGGGCTGTAACATTGGTTCTCTGACCAGGGACTGCGCTCACGCGTTAGGTCACCGTCGAAGCCCTCGTAGAAGGAGCAGGGACCCTGCAGTCCCCCGACTGCAAGGCGGGCCCTCAGATTTCTCAGAGTCCCCTCGGGAGTGGAGACCACTGCCTTGCTCACTGCTACGGCTCTCCAGACCCGGAAGGGGAGAGGACACTTGCCTGGTCTGGCCACTGGACAAGGTGAGACCCCGGGTGTGCACAGGTCAGTTCAGTCCCGCTCGATCTGAGTGAAGGAAGGCTGACCGCCTCTCACTAGTCCGATTCCCGGCGGGGATGTAGCTCCGAGTTCGTTGTACGAATGGAGGCGCGCATGAACGTGAGCACAGCGTGAGCCCTAAGCCACTCGGTCTGTGCTGCACGGCGGGGGCCTCCGGGGCCCTGCAGCTCCAGAGCGTGAGGCGGTCAGCTGTGAGTGGTTCCGTGGCCATGTCGCATGGCTGGAGGTCCTTGACCAGCCCGGAGATTGCAGTGCACCTGTTGCCAAGACGGACCTTTGTCCCGGCGAGGGGACCGGCCAGAGCTGAAGAGGGCTTCGTTCCTCTCGAGGAGCACCCGCCTCTGTCTTGACTCCCTTCAAGGGAGCACTGCATGCACAGAGGGACCAGGCCGGGGTGGAGTCAGTGAAAACCCAGTCCTAGGCTGCGGTGTGTAACTGTGAGAAGGGGTTTTCAGAGGACTACGGGATAAGCGTGAAACCGTCTCGCCGCCTCTGCACCTTCTGTGCGGTAGAATGGCTGCGGCTCTGCCCGAGTGGACGCCAGAGGAGACCCTAAATGTCGATCCTGTCCAAAAGGTTTGGGACAGAGTCACCGCGCTGGGACCCCAAGGCTACGCAGCGCGGTTCCGCTACATTGATTCCTGGCTGAACTTGGGCGTTTCTCCCGCCCTGGCTGCACACCTGCATCTGTCATGGTAGAAGGTCCATGGTGATGATGAAGCGGATCCCGAGAGAGATAAGCCCAACCTGCCAGTTCCGAGACCAGGCCCCTGGTCCTTCCTGAAGGCCCTGCCCAAGCTGACGTGCTGCCTCCCTGCTAGGACCGCCTCAAGTGCCACAGCCACCACAGCTACCTCTGACTGCTCGGCTGCACCCACAGGTGGCCCTTAGCCGCACCGGCTGTGCCTGATCCCGCTGGCTGCCCGCCCACGCCCCCGCCCCAGAATCTGTCCCGACGCCTGGAGGTCTGCACTTACCACAGCCGCCCTTGCCGGCCCCGGCTGTGCCCACAGGTGGCCCCCGGACGCCCCTGGCTGTTCCCACCTCCCCTGGGCTCCCGTCACCTGCCCAGATCCCAGCTCCAGAATCTCCCCCACTGCCCACAAGTTCATGCAGCCCGTTCTGCCCGGGCTCATTTACAGGTGCCCCTCCCCGCATCCCCTGGGGCCCACTCTGGGCAGCCCAGTCAACAGCCACTCCTGCACTGCCACCCGTTCAGTACCATGGGCTCCTGAACTGGGAAACCACACCCCACCATTCAAGCTGTGATAGATCTGACCTCCATCTTCCAGACTCACCGGCCAGCTTGAGAGGACTGCCAGCAGCTGCTTCTGACCCTCGTCAGTACGGAAGAGCGTCGCTGCCTCTCAGAGGCAGCCCCTTGGCTCGGGACAAGGCCTGGCAGCTGAAGTGGATCCAGGGACTTGGTAGCCAATGTGTTACCCTGGGAATGCCCAACCTCCTCCTCACCAGAGGGAATTACTGCATTAAGCTGGTACTGATCTGCGATGCTAGCTGGACTCAAAGAAGGTGCAGAGGAACCCACTGACGTGTCCCAGGTTGCCTCCGTCACCCTGGAGCCCACTGAGAGTTCAGCCAAGTTCTGTGAGGGACTCAGGCGTTTCACCTTTAAATTCCCTTTGACCCTGAAAAACCCGAACATACCAGATGGTAAAGGCAGCTTTTGTGAGTTAGTCAGCCAGTGACATTTGGAAGAAAATACAAAAGGTAGATGGATCTGTGGGCATTCTATGCAGCTGCTTCCGATAGCTACCCAAGTTTATGTTAACAGAAGAAGAAAAGCAGGAACAGCGCTGAGAGGCAGACCAAAGGGCCCAGCCACGGGCCACCGTAACACTCCACTCAGCTGCACCAAACGCAGTCACTCTCCCGAGCCCGCTGCCCATCCCCAGGCCTCTTGGTTTACATGCCTGGGCCTGAAAGATGCTCTCTTCTGCTTGTGTGTAGCTCCAGTCAGTCAGCTGTGAAGATGCTGAAACAGGACGCAGGGGACAACTCACCTGGGCCAGATGGCCTCAAGGGTTCGAGAATTCCCTGAGCCTATTTGGACAAGCCCTTAGAAGAGGTGCTTCCAGGACCTCTGCCTGTAGGATGGCTAGCTCAATGAGCTGGATTATGGGCGCTTACTTGGGCAAAAAATAAAAAGGTAAATCTCAACACTGACTCCAGATATACCTTCACCACAGTTCACGTCCACAGCCTGATCTGTGAGGAAAGGGACCTATTCACGGCTAACGGAAAACAAATTAAGTGGCAGTGTATTTGTAAACCGTATGGAACTGAAGATTAGGAATAAAACCATTTTCTTACATAGAAAAAAAGAAGTCATCACCCAGCTGTTGGCCGTGGTCTGGAAACCCTAGAAGGCTGCCATTATATACTAAGTGGGACAGCAAAAGATAACAGGTTCTGTGACCCTGGGGAGTCAGAGTGGATGCAGTTGCTGAGGTGACAGCCAACTCAGCCTGGGACCAAGCTCTCCAGGCGCCACGAGACAGAATGGGTCTGATCCAAAACTTAGAAATCCAACATCAGGGGCTCCTGATACTATGTGGATTCTATGGGAAGGACTGCTTAGTTACACCAAAGAAGAAACAACGTGGGCAAAACAGGAAGGGAGCCACCCAATGACCACAAATGGACTTTGCCAGGTGGACAAGTCCTCATCCCTCGTGGACTGACCCGTGCATGCCCCGATAAAACCACCCCATGACGTAACTCCTGGGGGAAAGACGGCCGTGGCCCCTCTCCTTGGCAGATATACTGTATTCCCAGACTGACCGCCACCCAGGCCCCAGTCAGCCAGAGAGGTCACACTTGCACTGTACTTGAGCTCATCAGGGACCTTGATCACCCCTAGGCATCCAGCATGTAGGTCTGTCCCTCTTTGCAGATCTTCAGGTTTTCCTCATCAAGATTAAGCCCTGCAGAGGCTACAAGTGTCTATTACTGCTTGTCTGTACATATTCGGGATGGCCAGAGGCATTTCCCACCTGTTCAGGAAAAGCTTGTGAAGTCTGCAAAGTTGATGGGAAATAATTCTAAGATACGGCCTTCTCTTGAGCATTGGCAGTGACAGTAGACCTGCCTTTGTGGCTGAAATAACCCAGAAGCTTGCCAGGCTGCTGAAGATCGAGTGGAATCGCCACACTAGATACCGACTTCAGAGCTCTGGAAAGGCTGAGAGAATTAACCAAACCCTAAAGTCCATTCTAACCAAGTATCATCAGGAAACTCCGTTACCCAGGGTAGCCTTCATCCCTATGGCCTTACTTAAGGGGAGGAGCTCACCAGGGTCTCACAGGTTCACCCCCTTTGAGGTCCTCTATGGGAGGCCCCTCCCGTAACTCAGAATCTCAGTGGAGACGTGAGACCGCTAGGTAAGCTGGGCATAGAAAACCAGCTTGAACAAGTCGGAAAGCCCTTGTGGATGTATACCACCGTAGCAGAAAGAGCTCTGCTACAATTAGACACCCAAGCCCATGTGACCCTGGCGATATGATACGGGTTAAAGACTGGAAAATAGAACCTCTTTAGCGTAGGTGGGAGAGTCGATACATGGTCATACTAACCACCCCACAACTCTTACAGTTTCAGAGGTTCAACCATGGATCCATCATTCCAGGGCCAAGAAGGCTCATCCCGACGACCACTGGAAGGTTTACCCAAGTCAAGACAGCCCTGAAGCCCAAACTGAAGAGACCGCACTTCGAGAGGCCTCAAAGCCCCGCTCCCTGCACTCTGGAAACTGACAGGTCTGTGCGCGCCCGAAGCTCCAACTTTGGAATCAACTGCGGACTTCAGACGGCTTGTTTCATAGGGACTAATCGCCCTAGCTCGTCTGTTGCTGTTGGGTGGCTTTGGTCCAGCATACCTCCTACGTGTGCAGCTGTGCGGAGATGTCTCCTCTTGCTGCTGTGTATCTGCTCCTGCTCGGCCTGCTCGGCCCCCGCGCTTGCCACGCACACTCCGGACACTGGGAGTTCCAAGCCCAGCTTTACGGCACCGACCCCGTGGTGATCCTCAACCACACCAGGTGGGATCCCTCCCAGCCGGCTGTGTATTTATATTTTGATGCTTGCCCTATTCAAACCAAAGACCCAGACAAGAATTCCTATTTCACGGGGTGTGGAGGCTTAAAGTGGGAACGAGAATATCGAACCAATAACAAATATGTCTGTCCTGAATGGCGCCAGGTACCCGGAGGCCAGGGGCGTCTAAGCCACTGTAGGGACATTCTAGATTGGTTCTGCCTCTACTGGGACTGCGCCATGGACTATGGGGGATACTTGAATACCCCCTTGACCCAGCTTCCATCAGACCCTGATTGCCAGCAAGGAGCTTGCAACCCAATAAGGTACACTGTCCAGGACCCCGCCAACCAAGAGTGGACGGGTGGTCGCCGGATGAGTGTCCGGGTAGATGGCAGAGGAAGAGACCCAGGGGCAATCATAAAAATCCAGAAAGTCTGGATCCCTCCCGCCGTGTCAGTTCATACACCAGAGCCACCGCTGTTCCCGTTAGCCCCCGAGCCCAGTGGAGACGTTGCCGGCCCACCAACACCTGGCCTGCCGGCCTGGTGAGCAGCGTGCACTGCGCCCTGCGGACTTCAGGGCCTGAGTTTGGGACCAGCTGTTGGCTCTGCATTACCCTCACCGCTCTGGCCTGGCAGTCCCGGGAGCACATGCCACACTACAAGACCAGATTGCCCCCCTGGTTGCAGTTGTCCTCCACAACCGCGGGCCTCAGACCTGTTAGCGCCCAGCAAGGAGGCACGAGCTTATTCTTAGAGGAAGAATGCTGTTGCTATGCCAGTAAGCGAGGTGTCGTCAGAGGAAGCCCTCGTCAACTGCAGGAACCAATGGAGCCAAGAGCCTCAGACAAGCGAAGGAGTTCTAGTGGCGGCACCTCCTAGAACACTGGGAACTGTGGTTAGGAGCCCTGTGGGACCTCTTTGCTCTTCTCCTAAGCCTAATGTTGGTGGCTGGGTGCAGCGGCACACGCCTGTCATCCCTGCACTTGGGAAGCTGAGGCAGGAGGATCGCTGTGAGTTTGAGGCTAGCCTGAACTGCATAGTGCGACCCTGTCTCAAAAATCAAAACACAGATCCTAATGTTAGGGCCTTTGGTCCTGAGCTGGCTCGCCAGATCTGTGTCCCAATACCTTGATTCCATGAAGCTTCAGGCGCTTGTCAGACAAGGACCCCACCGACCTTATGTGGCCACCTCACCACAAATCTGCACCCCTTGGATGAGGACACGCAGCCAAGGGTTTGACAGCCTACAGATGGGGGAAATGAAGCGGAAAAGAGCACTCCGTCCAGTCGGGAGCTCCGCCCTGCAGCAAGCCTTTTACCCTTCAGAAAGTTTCTGCCTCCGAGAACGCTGCAGCCCTCTTCCCGGCACGTGTGAGATACGTGGAATCAATGTCACCTTTCGAGCAGTCACCTCGCACCACCTTACGGAAGGAAGGGGAAGCTCCGAGTAACTCTGACCCATCAGCTAACGAGGAGCGCCCTGCTCCTGTGCTTCCTGCGTGCTCCGCACCCTGGAAAAGCCTGCACACCGCGGGCTCGGGGCCTGGCCCTGGGAGCGACCCCGGCCAGGCCCGCTGGCGCCAATAAAGCTGTGCGCTTGCCTCCAAGCCTTGGGCGCCGCTCGGTTCTCGGTCTCGTCTGCTGCGGCTCTTGCTGCGAGCTGTAGCGTTGGCTGTAACTCTGAAATGGGGTCTCACTGAGTTGCCCAGGTTGGGCTTGACCTTGGGATCCTCCTGGCTGAGCCTCAGAGTGCTGGATTTAGTGGTGGGCACTCAGGGCTTTGGGGGTGGGTGGGGACAGGGTCTCGCTTCCTTTGTGGCCCAACCTGGTCTCAAACTGGCCATAGTCCTCCTGCCTCAGCCTCCCGAGTACTAGGATTATAGGCGTTTGCCATTGTGCAGAGCTTTTTGTGTTTGAGCCTCACTGTTGCCCAGGCAGGCCTTTCCTGGCCTCGAGTGATCCTGGCCTCCAGCTGTGTGCTACAGCACCTGGCATCACTTGATTCTTACTGGGAGCTTTGAATGAGAACAGGTAGGGGAGTGTGTTGCCATGTTTAAGGCTGCAGAGGATTCTTGGGTCGTTTATCACGGTGTGTGAAAATGCAACTTTCCAGAGTCACTTGGGTCGGACTGGTTCCACTTTTAGGCCACTATTAAAAGTGACACTGGGGTGCTGAGGCTACAGCTCAGTGGCATAAGCGCCTACCTGGCAAGCGCAAGGTCGTGAGTTCGAGCCCTGGTACCGCAAAAAAAAGGTGTCAGTGCGCCTAGTGAGGCACATGGGTAATCCCAGCACTCAGGAGGCTGAGGCAGAAGTATCAGAAGTTCCAGCCCAGTTTAGGCAACTTGACGAGACCTGTCTCAGTGAAAAGTAAAAAGGCCTGGGGCCATGGCTCCGCGCAGAGGCCAGAATGCCCCAGTGTAGAAATCTCACGTTCTGGGTTGCATGTGCAGTGCCCGTCCCGACCAGCTGCTGTCCAGAGGGGTCGCAGGGCCTGCCTGGCTTGCTCCTGTGGCAGCAGTGGGGATGGGGCCCAGGACGGGCGGCAGCGGACACACAGCCCCACCAGGTCCCCAGCTGGCCTGGAACTTGATGTCCTGCTCTGATGCCTCCCAGCTTGCTGCGGACCGGCTTGTAAACTGAGGCTAGGGCCTGCGTGAGGCTGGTGCCTGTCTTGCCTCGTGAGCCGCGTGGTATGTGGACACCCCCGCCAGGCTCATGGTGGAGATCTGCCGAGGCCCAGGCGGCTGCGGGTCTTCCGAACCAGGCAGCAGCGGTAGCTGGTGGGGAAAGGCGGGCCCCTAACCCAGGTCCTCGTCTTGCAAGAGCGCCTCGGTCCCCTCAGCAGCTCGTGGCGCCCGTTGTGTCCCGCTCACCGCCCCGCGGAAACGCGTGTGCGCGGTCCGTGGCCTGCACGGAGCACCTCGGCCTGCCCATCCCGCGGCTCTGGCCTCCCGGCCGCCTGCACACATCCTCGCCTGTCTCCCCTTCCACCCGCTGCTGCGCCCCTTCTACAGGCAGCTAGGGCTTGGCCAGCTGGGGTGAGGGGTGTGCCGTGGCGCCCGCACGCACGGGGGAGGGGAACCCACTGCACGGTCTGGCGGAGGCGGCGGTCCTGTACTGATAGGGCCAGAAGGGGGACCTTCGGGGTGCGACCAGCACGAGAAAGGTCTCCGGGTCACCCTGGCACAGGGCTGGCAGCTGCAAGGCAGAACTAAGCGGGCGCCCTGCAAGCCTGTCTCCGTGGCAGAAGCCGCGCCTCGCCGCGAGGGCCCGTCCGGGTGCACGCGGGCGGGGGGTCTCTCCCGGTCCTGGAGAGGAGCGTCAAGTACACGGTGCGGCGCGGCAGCACGGTCGGCACCGCAAGGGCGAGGGCCGGCACCCGCGGTGCGCCTGTGGGGAGCGGGGCCTCGTCCTTCTCGGCATCTGCATACAGGCACTCGCTTTCCCTGACAGTTCTCTCTCCGCCTAGAAAACAGTTACTGAGAACGTGGGGACGCACACCTGTGATCGCAGCACTCAGGAGGCCGAGGCAGGAAAATCCTTCAAGGAGAGGCAACCTGAGCTACACACACACACACCGTCCCCAAGAGTGTCACAGTGGTGGCTGAGTGTGAGAACTTCGGAGGGATCTGTTTTACTATATTAAAAGACACCGTAGCTTTCAGTCATGCTGTGTGTGACAGAGGTGAGGGAGAACCCAGCCCCGTGGTGAGTGTGGCGGGCAGGGCCCTGGGCTTGGGCACCGATGTTCAGGGCTCAGCCTGACCTCTGGACAAGCCCCTCTGCCTCTGCTCCTCCCTGCTGGCCCCGCGGGCCTGGCCCTGGGACTCAGGGAAGCCGCCTCCCTCCAGGTGCCTGACCACCTCACAGGTCCGCGGGGCGCGGGCTGGGCTTGCCGTGGCCGCCAGACGCAGTGCCCGGGATCACTGAGCAGGAGCAGGGATGAGGCCCTGGGGTGCGGGGCAGACTCGCGTCCTCCCTCCCATGGGCCTCGGCGCTGTTGTCCATCCCCTTGGAGTAAGCTTCATGGAACACGGCCGTGGACCCAGCGACCGGCACACCTCACGTGCCGAGGCCTGGGTTCCTTTGCAGCAGCCCGGAAAGCAGGGCCGCGTGGAAGCACTGGCGCACTGCTGTCAGTCTAAGGTCACCAGGTGCCATGCTGAGTTCACGGTCATTCTGCCAGTAAAAGCACGTCAGGGGCTGGGGATGTAGCTCAGTGGTGCAGCACCTGCCTCACAAAGCATGAGGCCCTAAACTCAACTCTCAATACCAAAAAAATGGGGCCGGGGATATAGGTCAGCGGCCTAAGTGCCTGCCTGGCAAGCGCAAAGTCCTGAGTTCAATTCCTGGTACCAAAAAATAATAATAATAAAAGCATGTCAGTAAACGTGGCTATAGTCCTACAACTATTTGTTTATTTCCAATGATGTCACTTCTTGTTTTTTTGGCAGTACTGGGGAAACCTAGGTCCTTTTTTTTTTGAAGACAGGATCTTGCTAAGTCACCCAGGATGGGCTGGAACTTGTGATCTTCCTGCCTCAGCCTCCAGGATCGCTGGGAATACAGGCCTGTGCCACTAATGCTTTGCTCATGATTCCAATTTTATTTCAACTCATCAATCCACAAGTCACGTCCTACGTTTTGCCCCAAGAGGGCACGGCCCAGCGCACATGGGCCAAGCTCAGGTGGGTGGCTGTGCCCTGCCGAGTCCTGGGGACGTGCTTCTCGTACCCAGTGACTCCAACAAGGTGCTTAAAGCCTGAGAGTCTCACGACCGTGGGAGCCAGCCGCGGGGAGTTGGTGTTGGTGCTGGGCCCCTCCCCGGCACATGGAGCAAAGCTGGCTCTCCCACAAACCCCAGCAGGCGGGTTGGACACGTGCCTCAGCTCTTAATTGTCACATCTGTCCAGTGTACGCATTTGCTGTGGGTTTATTTTTATTTTATTTTCTGAGACAAGATCTCACTATACAGTTCACACTGGCCTTGAACACACTACAGACCCCAGGCTTTCCTTACAAACTCAGTGATCCTCCTGCTTCAGCCTCCCAACAACTGGGACCATAGGCATGTACCACCATGTCCAACTTGCTGCGGATTTATATACAGAATTAAATATCCCATTTATTATTTTAGAAACCGTTGTAAAACCACACAGTTCTCTGCAGGAAATCTTCATTGAAAAAACCCCACATTTATATACAAATTTCAGCAACATCAAAAACTCCTGGCGAAAGGGGGGCGGGATTCATTTGGGAAGCGGCAGGTCAGGGCTCGGTGCTGTGCTCCAGGTGCCGCTGCCCAGGTGAGCGCAGGTCGCTATCCATGCAGCATGTCCCTGGGAGAAGGCCATAGCCCTGACGCAAGGCTCAGCAAGGTCCTTTTTGGTTTTTTTTTTTTTTTTTTTGGTTTTTTGAGACAGGGTGTCGCTATGCACTTCAAGCTGGTCCTGGAACTCTATACAGCCCAGGCTCACCTTGAACTCACACTGATCCTCCTGCCTCAGCCTCCCCAGTGCTGGAAGACAGGCGTGGCCACTGCGCCCGGCTTCAGCAAAGTCTTCGTCAACCACGTCACCTCTTTTCTGCAGTGACAGGAACCAGGGTTGCACGTGTGCCGGGCAGGCGCTTATCACCAAGCTGCTCCCCAGCCTTTCTGTTTTACTGAGACAGTCTCACTAAGTGGCCCAGGCTGGCCTCAGGCTTGTGATCCTCCTGCCTCAGCATCCCAGGAGCCACACCCGCCATCACTCCCTCTTTTGCACTGCAGCTGTCTGAACTAGAGTCAGAATACGTCTAAAGCACACAGCACAGCCGCAGACAGCGGCACTCCTGCTGTGAGCTGACGGGCTCTAACCTTGAAGTCCAAGAAGTCTAACTGTGAGAAGCAGGAAACCCAGGAGCCGAGCGTCAGCCCCGCGCCCCCCAAGCACTGCGCTCGAAGGCACGGCCCACAGAAACTGCCCCACGTGGCTGTCCCCCAGCACAGACCAGGACACGGCCCCTTCCCGTCACCAGAAAGGACAGAGACCACGCAGGCCGGGTCCACCCCACACAAGGTCCTGTGGGTTTCTGATGGGATTCTGCTGAATCCGAACTTCTCATTTTTGAGATGGGGTCTGTTCGGGTGCCCAGGCACTCACTCTGCCTCAGCCTCCGCAACAGCTGGGACTGCAGGTGTGGTCTCGGGGCCTGGCTCCCACACTCGTTCCTGAGCAAAGGGTCTGACTTGGCAAACCACATCCAGCTCGGAGCCCCCTGCCCTGGACCTAGCAGGGCGTGGCCGGGTCCTGACGTAAACAGCACAGAAACGGCAGAGGCAAGGCCTGGTCCTGCGGCCAGCAAGACACGGCCAGCCTGCTCTGGAGTCGATTGTCGTCAGCCGCGCAGTCACAGAGAAGCAACTTCGAAGGCCAGCTGCCTCCTGCTCGTGCCTGAGTGGCACCAGGCAGCCTCGAGGGGAAGGACGAAGCTGTTTCCTGAGCCCGGCCCGCCGTCTCGCACTGCGGACCAGGCTGATGGCCGCACGCACTCCTGGAACCGGCGCGTGCCCCGGCCAGGGACGCAGTCAGCAGGTCCTCCCCGGAGACTGTAGCGCCAGACTGGGGTCGGGAGGGGGTGCAGGGGCCCGGGCCCAGAACTGCCCGGGGGAAGCCCTGCGCACCAAAGGCGACCACGCCCATCCCCATCAGACATCCATCCAGGCTGCTCCCTGCAAACCCTGCTGTCCCCCTACTGGCCCCGTGGGCCCTGACCACGGGCATGGGACGGGAGCAGCCTGCCGTCACCCTCCAGCTCCACCCTGCAGTCTGCCCCCGGCCCCCAGGTCACCCCTGGCCACTTCTCGGCCACTCCGGGCAGGCAGCGTCCGCATCGGCCGCCTCTCCTGTCCCAAGTGCTGCCCGCTGTGCCGACGAGCCGGGAGGAAGGGACTTGCGCCCCAGCGGGGACTCCGTCCTGCTCCTGGCGGATAGCAGGGTCTTCCCCAGGCAGGCCTCGCCCTGTCCCGTGACCACCGGCACTGGTGTCAGAAGCGTCTAATGCCGCTGGGGCCCACGCCTGGCCACCTGGTCCCCCGAGGGCTACACGTCATAGCGGTTCAAGGCATACGAGCTGGGCTGCCCAGGCCGGCCGTACTGAAAGTGATCCGTCAGGACGCTGCCGCCGCGGCTGTACTGCAGGTCCCCATGTGGGGGGAAGAGGATGCCGTTGTGGGGCCGCTCCCGGCCACCCAGGTCTGCCGCGGACATAGGCAGCAGGTGCTTCTTGGCCTGCTGGTTTGCATCATACTTGGTCTGTGGGAACGAGAGCGAGGACAGAGTCGAGCACATCCCCCAGGAAACCCGAATCGAAGCCCGTGAGCTTCCCCGGGCACAGGGGCACACGCCCACCATCCCAGCTACTGAGAGGCTGAGGCAGGACAGTGTAATAATAAAATGGCCTGGGGTGTGGCTCAGAGCCCAGTGCTTGTTCAGCACGCAGGACGCCCTGGCCTCCAACTGCGGCTGGCGTTGCGGGGGAAAAACCCCACCAGTCAGCCTCAAGGCTTCGAGGGCCCCAGGCAGGTTTGGGCATGGCAGCAGGTGGCTGGTGGACAACCCAGGGCCAAGCCCCCCGCAGGCATTCTGCGGACTCACAACCCACCAACGCAGCGGCAGAGAGGGGCGGAAATCCTGGCCGTGCGTGCTCTCAGCGGACCTGGGCGCGGTGGCCGGGGGGTCAAGGCGGGGACGCACCCACAGACCCCGCCGCTCACCTTGTTGTACAGGAAGACCCCGAGGATGGCGGTCAGCATGCCCAGCACGTTGGTGCTGGTGACTGGGTTGCGCAGCATGATCAGGGACACGGTGATGACCATGATCCTCTTGGTGGCGTTGGCGACTGAGTAGCTGAGCGGGCTGATGAGGTTGAGGATGCTGAAGGCAATGACGTTCTGGGCGAAGTTGCAGAAGCCGCTGACCGCCAGGAGCAGGAGTGTCCAGGGCCACTGGGACACGTAGGTCTGCGGACACGGGGAGAGGATAGCGTCGGTGGCCAGTGGGGCCCTGCCCTGCCCCACCTGGTCAGCTCTGCTCCACACACATCATGGGGAGACGTGGCCCATCTCCCAGCCAGAAGCAGACAGCAGAGAGGAGCCTGCTCGGGGTCCCCAGGTCACCCCGTGACCACCTAAGGAGGGCTTCGCTAATCCCAGTGCTGTTCAACCAGTGAGGTTGACAGTCAAAATGCACCACCAGCCTGATGAGGTGGCCCACATCTGTGATCCCAGTACTCTGGGAGGCTGAGGCAGGAAGATCTCAAGTTCCAACCCACAGTGAGCAACTTATCGAGACCCCATCTTGAGGTGAAAAATAAGGGTTAGGGATGGAGCGCGGTGTGAAGGGCCCAGATTCAAACCCCCGCGCTGCACAAAAGGAAAGAGCGAGGACAAACCACCGCACGGCTCCCGGATGGCACAGCACAAGGCCGGCCCGCGGTCACGTGATGCCGGGCCTTGACACGGCCCGTGATCCGCAGGCATCACCCAGGGCTGGATGTGAGCCCAAGCTTCTGTCCCTGGATGGTGCCACCTGCACTGCTGTGGGCCCAATGCAGGAGTCGTGGGGCCCTTGGGGCAGATAACCGCTCCACCCACACTCACACCGTGGCCTCAGGAGCTTGGCTTCCATGGGCTCGAGGTCACCAGGGTGGGAGGGAGGCTCCATGCTGTGTGCGTTCCCCACGCCAGGGTCCTGGGCACAGCTGCACCCAGCAGGCAGGGAGGGAACGTCCTGCTTCCTGGACATGCAGGGAGCTGCATGTGGACAGCCCGGCAGTAAAATAAAACCGGCTGTGGATGTCACTCAGTTTGAAGGCTCTGTGTTCACTCCCCAGCCTCGCCAAAAAAGAAAAAAAAGAAAAACATATCCCTGAGGCCCCTTGAAGGCTTGGCCCCAGCCTGTAGTGCCACGGGGAGGTGGTGAGACCTTTAAGAGGGGGTCTGAGCAAAAGTGAGGTCACTGGGGTGTGGCCACCCCATACTGGGACCCACCCTTCCTGTCCCCTGCAGCCCCGCAGCCCAGGCCAAGCAGCTTCCTGCACAGGGCCCTGCTGCGACGTGCTGCCCTGCTGCAGGCCCAGGGCGCGGGGCCAGGCAACCACGGACTGCAGCATCCTCCAGAAGTCACGGCGCCCATCACCCTGGCCCTGTCCCGAGCCGAGCGTTTCAGATATCCTGTCAGCGACCGGAAGCTGGCTGACAGTACGGGTCAGCTTCCCCACCGCTCCGACAAAAGGCCTCGCAGGTGCAGGGGAAGCGGTTCTGAAGCCTCAGCCTGTGGCTGGCCGGCTCCTTGCTATGGCTGGGAGGTGACACCCGGCGCAAGACGTCAGGATGCAGCGGGCAGAGCCCGAGACGGGGCTGGGGCCCCAGCCCGGCAGGCGTGGGCGTCGCGAGCGTCCTCGCAGCCCTCTCGCCGGGGAGCTACAGCCCACAGAAGCTTCACCACAGGACCACGGGACCCCGTCTCTCTGCTCCCAGCGTCTACTCAGGGTTCCTTCCTTCTAGACACTCCCGCTGCTGCCAGCCGCTGAGACATGATGCGCTCGGGACGCTCGCCGCGGCCTGCGCCTGAGCTGGGAGCCAGTGAAGCCTTCTTTGTTTATAACACCAGGCGGCCTCACGCACCTTGCCACAGTAACGGAAAGTGGACGCGCAGGTGCCAGCGTGGACCCACACTCCCACTCCTGGACGCCCGTGGTCAGGAAGGGCGCGGGCACACTCACCAGGTCACTGCTGACGAGGAACGCTGAGAGGTCCACCAGCACCCACGTGGGGATCATGAAGAAGACCGCGTGGCACCCCAGGATGTTGAGCAGCCGGAGGTGGTGGATGCGGGAGTCTCTCAGCACCTGCGCAGAGAAGGCTCGTGAAGGGCTGAAGCAGGCCGCCAGCCAGGGAGCCCTGCGTCCCCACCGCCAGCCAGGGACATCCAACCCGAATGCCGAAGTGCCACGCTCATTTTTTTTTTTTACTAGGAATCAAGCTCAGGGCCTTGCGCTTGCCAGGCCGGCACTGTGCCGCTGAGCCACATCCCCGGCCCTGCCACGTTCACCTTCAAAGGACAGACAGCACGTGCCCAACACAAGTGCGCCGTTTCATGGGTAAAGGGGCAGGGAAGGAAAAGCAAAGCCAAGCCCGGGACGGTGCTGGTGAAGGTACGGGGAAGCAGCACTGTGAGAACCTCCGGGGTAAGTGGGATGTGGTGCGGCTTTTCTGGACACGGCCAGGCAGTGCTGGCGACTCGAGCAGCTTCACACCCTCGCTGACCCATTACAAAGAGCTCAAGGTCAGAAAACCATTCCACATAAGGCCGGCCACGGGAGAAGATGGCACGGCCCGCGTTTACAACAGGACAAAGGCCTGCACCAACTGTGGCACCAGCGTGGCACGTGGCAGTTACAGGGGTCCAAGAAAGAGACGCTGGTCAGGGTATGGTGAAAAGGTACTCTAACTGACAGCAGCCACAGCACAACTTGAAATATGTCTGTGCTACTGTGTCTCCGGGGACTGCCCGGAGAAACGGACATCGCAGCCACTCCCTGGGGCTGGGTGCCGCTGAGCAAGACAGCTTGCCTGGAATGCTGCAGGCCCTGGGCTCCAGGCCCAGCACCAGGAATCCCCACACCAAGACCCTATGGCGGGCCGCTGTCGTGCTCAGGGGACTATGCTGCGATGTGAGTTTGCATAGTGGCAGCCTGGCCAGCAGGCCAGGCCTCTCTGCTCTTTATCCCCTGCTCCCGCCACGGTGCCCAGCACACAGTACGTGCTGGGGAAGTTTCAAAAAAATGTCCATGGGCGTGGAGGGGCCCACCTGCAAGCCCACTACTCTGGGAGGCCGAGGCGGGAGCACTACAAGTTTTGGGCAACTTAGACCCTGTTCTGAAAATAATAAAAAGGGTTGGGAGTGCAGCTCAGTGCAAAGGCACCAGGTACCATCCCCCGGGCTGCAAAAAGTTCTTTTATGGGGCTTTCTCTTTTTCTTAGCATTGTGTGTGTGTTAATTTTATAATAGAACAACATCAACTATTTAAAACACAAAGCAAACAAGAAGGGAGCAAAAAGCAGGCAGCAAAAAAGCACACCTCCCCCCAGCCCGGCTGTACCGCACCCTCCCTCAGCCCTGCCACCCCCCCCAGCCAAGCCCCCCCCCCCAGCTCGGCCGGGCCGCACCTTCTTGGAGAAGATGTTCTGCAGCGAGAAGCACAGCGTGGCCGCCAGGGCGCTGAGCAGCCCCCACACGTCGAAGGACAGCTCGGTGACGGTGGCCAGCAGCACGCCGCTGATGATGGGGATGAGCGACAGGTACACCTGCGGGGAGCAGAGCAGGGAAGGACCCCGGCCCGGGCCGTGCCACTCTCCCTCCCCTTGAGCGCAGGCACACGCTGCAGGTCCCCAGGCTGGTGCCAAGAGCCCACCTGGGGCACGCCCAGGGAAGTCCCCGGCTAGCTCGACCCCCAGGTGGGCCCTGTCTGTGGCTGTGGCCCTCCCACCTCAAAGGGGCTCCTGCTGGTTACCGCCTTCCCTGTAGGTCTCGGATCTCCCCAACACCAGGACCTCTCCTGCCCTAAGGAGCATGCTCCACCCACTGCGCCTGCCCACGAGGCCATCTGGCCTCCGCTAGACCAGGCACGACTTCAGAGCAGGTCCCATCTGCTGCCCTGTCCCGCACACAGTGGGCACTCAGTAGCTGCCAGCACAGTGGACAGGGGGCAGCGAGGGCGGTGCTGAATCCCGGCATCCTGTGCCAAACATCTCTCAGTATCCACGTCAGGCTTCCTCAGTCCTGGCTCACACCTGAGCTACAAGAAACCCTCTTTTTTTTGTGTGGACCTCGGAGTGGAACCCGGGGCTTCCATACTAAGCTGCATCCCCAGCTCCATGTCTAGACAGAGTTCTGCGTTCACTAAGCTGGCCAGATTGGGCTCCCACTTGCGATCCTCCTGCCTCTGCCTCTCTGAGTGCTGGGCAGAGAACAACGTCACTGTGGAGATTTAGCAAACAGGGGTGATGTCCCCAGTGGGGCCGGTCACTTGCTGTACACTGCGTGGTTCCTAGTGTGGCCCTCAGAGGTGTGACGCCTTCATTTTTTCCTGAGCTCAGGAATAAGCTGTTAGGGTTTGTGGCTAGATATCCCTCCAAAGACTCACGTGGTCATGGGCGGGCTTCTAGATTTTGTGATTGATTCGAGGTCCAATGCTGGGATTATGGGTGTGACTGCCACACCCGCCCCGGGGCGGGTAGTTTGCACACAATATAAGGGAGGGAAAGAGGCTTGCTCTTCCCGCTGCTCCTCCCTTTTTACTCCTGCAGTGTTTGCTGTTTTCCACTGTGAACAATTGCCGTCTGCCATGTGCCACCCTGCCTTGGAGCCAGTGGAATACGGACTGAAACGTCCACAGACTGTGAGCTAAATAAACCTTTCCTTCTTTAATTCTAGGCACCAGGTATTTTGTCTCAGCAATGACAGAAAAGTAACTAAGACACCTGCATTATCCAGCTTGCAGTGTGGGTCCCCACGAAGCTCTCCCTTTACTGTCACCCAGCTGCCCGCCCAAGAGGGCCACTCCCATCTCTGCTCACCGTGTGAGACTCTGGGTACAATGTCCCAGACAACTCGGAAACCTGACGAACAGATGCGCTATCAGGTGATACAGGCACACTTCTGGGTGACTCTAACCCCTGGGGGGTCAGACACACCTGAGGTCACCCACAGGCCAGCTGCAGGGCACACACAGCTCTTGCCAGGGAAAGACAGGCTGCAACAGACCCAGCCAGAGGAGGCCCAGTTTCTAAAAGCTGATCAGGGGCACTGCGCCCGAGTTACAGGAAACCCGGGATGCTGGAAAGCAAGCCCTCGAAAAGCACACTGTGTCCAGCAAGAAATGGAGTTCCAAGGGGATAGGTGGAGCCCTGTTTCCACTGAAGGACACAGTGAGGCTGGGCCCGGCTAGCCACAGCCTCGCGCACCCCAAGGCAGGAAGTGCTCTGCCTGGCAGCCTGGACAGACCCAGGTCCGGCTGCTCTCACTGCTGAGACTTCAGGACCCTGCCTGCCTGAGGCTCCTGTGTGGCCGGAAGTCCCCTACCTGGCCACTGGGGGGGAAACCCGCTAGGCTTCTGATCTATCCCTGGCCCCACTGGAGGCGCCCTGCGGAGATGGGCCCGGGCCACCCGCAGCGCCAGACCGGGGAACGAGATCAGGAGCACCTCAGGCCTGAGGCGGGGGCGTTCCTGCGGCCACACCGCGAGACCTCCACCCCGAGGCGGTCTGCAGGGCGAGCCCAGGCAGCGGCAGCCGGACGAGAGCTGTGCCAGGCCTCTCCTCGACTTCCTCATCCGACAGGAAGCCGGGCGGCCGGCAGGCAAGGAGCGGACACGTCACCCGCTGAGGTCTGCGGGGCCTGCCATCCCGGGGGCCCCTGCCCGGCTTACCTTGGTGCTCTGCTTCTCCTTCATGATAATCCGGGACAGGAGGACCACCCAGATGGGCATGGTGGCCTTGACTGCGGAGAGAGCGGCACTCAGGCCCAGCGCCTCCGGCCGGCGGGCGCACTGCCCCCC